AAAAAAAACCTGCTAACCAACCAACCAACAGCCACCTGCCAGCGGCGCCAGCAGCAACCAACCAACTGACCACAACGTAGCATCCCTTTTGTGGGCCATCCGAGGGTAAAATTTAGAATAGGAAGAAGCTTATATGCTATTGCAACGCGGCATGCCTTTTGTGGGCCACAGATACAGTTTAGAGTAGGAAGAAGCCATTGCAACGTAGCATTCCTTTCGTGGGTAAAATTTAGAAAAGGAAAACGCCATTGCAACGTAGCGTGCCTTTTGTGGGCCACCCGAGGGTAAAATTTAGAGTAGGAAGGAGCCATTACAACGAAGCAATTCTTTTTGTGAGCCACCCGATGGTAAATTTTAGAGTAGGAAGGAGCCATTACAACGATTTACAACGTAGCATTCCTTTGATGGGCCATTCGAAAGTAAAATTTAGAAAGGGAAGAAGCCATTGCAACGTAGCATGCCTTTTGTGGGCCACCCGAGGGTAAAATTTACAGCCGGAAGGAGCCATTATATTACAACGTAGCATGCCTGTTGTGGGCCATTCGAAGGTGAAATTTAGAATAGGAAGGAGCCATTACAACGCAGCATTAGTTCGAATTCGACTTCGAATCGACGATAATTTTTACACCCCGCGGGGGGAACCAGTTCCAGTTCGAGTTCGAATTCCAATCGACGACAATTTTGACGCCCGGAGGGGGGGAAACGCAGTTCGAGTTCGAGATCGAATTTCGAGTCGACGACAATTTTGACACCGAGGGGGGGACCAGTTCGAGTTCGAGTTCCAATTCGAATTCGAATCGACGACAGCGATTTTGGAGTTCGACTCTTTCTATTCGTCCACTGGGTTGACTTCTAACAGTTACCAGTTCGGGTTCGAGATCGAGTTCGAGTTCGGTTCCTTCCATATATCCTTTCAAGGTTAAGTTCATCAATACTGTATATAATGTTTCAGTTCGAGTTCGAGTTCGAGTTCGAGCGGGGCACACTATGCAGGCCAGAGCTCTCTAGGGAGTCTAATGTATGTTCAACTCGGATTGGAGATACGCCTTAACGGCGTCTGCCGACAACAACTTGTGTCCTTCAAAAAGACCAAAAGAAATAATGCTATTGGCTGCCACGATTGAAGTGGGAGACGCTAGCTTCCCTTCAGCCGTCTTTGCAGAATCACCACGGTAACGCACACGACCTTTGAGAGCACGCAACTCTGCGGCCAACTCAACATGCTTCTCACTACAAATTGCAAGCAAGTCTGCAATGTGGATGGTTTCTCCACTCTGCAGTGCAGCTTCCTTCACGTGGAACTCTTCATCAACCGACTCAAGTTCCCATGTTCCCATGGAACCAACACCATCAAATTCCTTACGGATCGCCTGTAGTGCATCTGGTCAAACTTCGTTCCAGGTGAGCCGTCTTGTCACTAGGGCGTAGGACCCAGCGGCAACATCTTCCGGTGGGACATATCCCTCAGGAAGTTCATCAGGAGAGTACTCCGGACCCTCAGTCGGTTCTGGCTCAACCCAATGCTCCTTTTCTGCTGCTCCTGTGGAAGAGGATGAAGAAGCTTTCGCTGAGCTCTTTGGCATCGGAAGCGGTCCAGGTGTTTTCGGTGCTCCGACATCTGGGATCGGCGTAGGTGGCGTTGCTGCTTTTGTAGGGAAGATGGCATCAAATCGCTCGCGGCATGCCTTGTTGTGGCGGTAATGGCCACCATCACACCCAGGGCAACCCTTTGTAAAACCATGCTCCAACAAACGTGAAAAAGTAATGTATGCATGTCGTGGGGGTGCGGCTGGTGTGTCTTCCGGAAAGGCATCAATGTCAATGTCATATGGGAGCACGCCCGACTCAAGAGATCTGTCATAGATCCTCTTCTTCATGACCTCTACTTCAGGGTCAGACATCTCTTTCAATGCCTTCATTGCTGCGTTGGACAAAGGAAAGTCAATGTGCTCAACAGGAGGGAAAGACACCTCCTTCTCATGAAGGTCCTTGGGACTCAAATGCAAATGCGCTCTTGCGCGGACAGCTTCGTAGTCAACAACTTGTACGACGCTGCGGTATCGCAAGCCTGAGTCGACACGCCATCCTGCAAACAAGCCTGGCCTCGTGCTCGTGGTTGGAGCGGCCATGCCGTCACTCTTTACCCTGTAGAAAACCAGTGCGC